CAGACGCTATATTAGTGAATTCACAGAATGAAGAGTTGAAGCAGGTGTCTCTATAATTATTTTATGGTAGTACGAATGTGGCACATTATAAAGCCACAGTTGGCTTTTAAATTTTTTGCCCTCCTACCTGTGACTTTCGATACTGCAGGTAAACATTTTATCTCAATTAATAATCTAAGGTAGTTTGTATGTGTTTGTGTTTCATGTCCAGTAGTTATGCTTGAGTAAACGTATGTCCAAATTTATATATGCTTGTTTTGCATGTTAGGCCGATTCAAACTAAATTTTGTGTTTAGATTTTTGATAGCCCTGGCAAAATACGAGCAACAGTTTACAAACAAACCGTTACATTCGACATAACGAACGATTGGTACGATTGGTAGTTATGTCTATTATTTGTAATAGTTTTAAGGTTGGTAAAATAACAAGGAATAATATAACACATCAAAACATATAGCGGGCATAAACTAAAACTGTTTTAGATGGTCCATAACAATGAAAAATCTATTAGAAAGCATAACTATTGACTTTGGATACTGTTCGATCAAAAGCCAAATGTATAACATCTAGTCTGTAATATTACCGATGTAGATTTCGATGGAATAAAGAAGTTGCTGATTCACCACGATGACACACTTTATTTCCCCACATCAATAATAACTTCATATTAATCTATAATAGTCAAGTTTTCAGGTCTGTGTTAACAGTTTAAGACAAACCTAATGACACAAATTTAACCAATGAACGTGTTTCCCACTGTAAACATGGAAAAACAAATCAGGAGAAAGAGGAAGTAGTTTTCGTTTTTTGTCGTTATTTGCTCTCTCTTCGCCAAAATTTGAAGCTATTATTTGACACTAATGGTTTTGTGTAATTAACTCACAAAAAAAACTACTGAACGTCAGTTGGTTCACAGTTCTTTCACAGTTCGAATTACGTTGAGATATTGAATAACGTATGATGATACAGAAAACTCTTTTTAATGATCGCGTACTTAACAAGGATTTTATTTAGTAGAATTTCTCTTAAAAATTTACGTTGATTTATCTAAACTCGTATCTAATTCATTCATCAATATCTTCTAATATCATAATGGTTATCCACTGCAATAACAACCTTTTTTATCCACAGGATATTTAAGAACATACCTCTTTTACACTTCCATTGAGGCCAAAAAATATAGATATATCTAAGAAATGAATTTTAAGAAATATATTTTTCAAGATTTCCCAGATACTGATGTTTACAATAATTCTATTACAAAAGAATCTAAGTGTTCTTAGTCTTATACTAAGAAACTCCTCCCAATAAACTATACTTCAAAACACATAAAAATCCATAACAAATCGTGCAAAACATAACAGGACCAAGAACGCTACCTTGAGGAACGCCCATCAAGTTGTGCAATACGCGCACATAAACGCAATTTACAATCTAAGAATGCTCTGATATAACTCCTGTTGGATAGGGAAGGTAACAGCCTACCATTACCATTACCATACCATTTGTTACCATTGTGAACAGCAGGTATTGTCAAGGTTGTGGTACCGCTATGCGATGACGAGCTTGGTGCCTAGATCATCTGTTGAGTAACATAACTGTACAGATGAAGCCGCAATCAAGGGCCAAGGGCAAGGGTTGTGGTAAAACATGGTATGAAGATAGGAAAGGTCGTATAATGGAAGAAAGAAGGGAAGTTATAGCACGAATGTAAAAAAAATATGATAGACAGACAGACATAAATTGATATGAGACTCGTTTCTGTTTTCTTAGGCTATGAAATGTAAAAAATAACAAAATCGTCATGATTCTACGCAATTTACAGAAAAAACTTTAATTTAACTTTTAAAGATGATATGAAGAGTTAGAAATCGTTATAATGTTACGCTTTTGTTCACGTTGAACACAAATGGATGGTCTGAACAAGTATTTATCGGAAATGAACTTAGTGCTTACAACTACTAATTGCAGTATTTGCAATTAGTAATTGCAACATATCTTATCTACAAGTATTATGTAGCACGCTGGTAAAAACAAATGGGGAAAGTAATGTCCAATTTAAAAAGGCTACATAACCTCGAATAAATTTAAACCTCACTGAAAGAATATCCTAAGTTTTACGTATAGTCTTCTAATTTATAATATGTATCATTTAAGCATAACTATAGTAAACTACTGTATGATTTTTAAGTCGAGATGTAAAAACTATACAGAAAATTAAAACCTACGGTAATAATTGAGTACGGATCTTGAAACAAAATAGGACCAAGAACACGACCTTGGGTATATCCCATTTTTACTATGATAATAAATTAAGTCAATTTTAACGTATTACATATGTAAGTATATGACGGATGTGGGTTTTCACTTTGAACTGTGAAACAAGCTCTACACATTTATGACTTCATATATTTATTGAAACTACTGTAGTAGCGATGCATATACAGAACATTTGCAATGTATACATGGTAATATAAGTTACCCGTTGCATCGCTTACAAAGACCTTTAACACTTCGTTGTCACGTTGTTTAAAATGTACATATATTTCCCGGACGGATTGTTTTCAGTGGCGTGAAACCCCAGTCTGGGCTAGGCTACATCCTTGTGTTCTCTTAGTTTCTAATGAGTTCACAGAACTGTCACTGTCATGTCTCTTTCTCTTCGTTACATAATGTGTTATGTATTAATTACCTGTAATACCACTGATCCCGAGCGATATTGTAGCACAGATTACAATTTGTTATTTTCATAGACCGCTCGAATGCAATATTCAGTGTAGATTTGTAAGGTAAATATATTCTAAAATATCTCCTTTAGCTTGAAACAAGTCTTTGATCTTAGCCAACAAGCATAGATAAAATCTCTATCAAGTTCGTATTTGTTTAAAAAAAGTCTACCCTTTTGACGTGCAGAGACTAGGTTTGGTGAAGTTTATTCAAAATATTACAAAATATGATGGACCTAGTATTTTTCACCACATTATACGCAATATTGTATCGTCACTAGGACCTAAAGTGACTCTTATCTACAGGAGCTAAGTTAAAAAGCCCGAAAATGATTGATGCACATAGAGACATACTTCAAGCTAGAAAATTCTCAAATGAAAAATTTCCTGTACCTTAGTTCATTGTATTAGTTATCTTCTAAATAAAATTATCCTATTTGCGATTGACTAACAGTTGTTGCCAAGTCTGTTAAGATGTTAATATACAGTTGAAAAATGATATAGTTGATGTTTCTCTTCTATCCCTGGCTGATTATTTTGTGTCTAGGGCTAGGAGTAGAACGGAGTATAAGTCCTGAAATGCATGTATTAAACAACTGTTTAAAACATATTCCAAGTACGGACAGCTTACACCTAATAAAAGAGCAGCCTGCTTATAATATACCCAACTTGGTTAAACATGTTCTTTGGAGAGAAAGTTACGGCGTGCACGCTTAAAAGATGCATAATCATCTACAAAAATTGCTATATAGCCCTGCAGTTATATGCGTAATTTATGTAATAATTACCTAACTGTTGCAATATTACTTTCTAATTGTCAATCCAAAGACAATTTGGAGGTAAATTGAGTTTTTTAGATCTATCACCTTCGTTTTCAAACTCCTGAATATTTTTCATCGTGGGTTTCAATTAAACTGTTAAACGTGCAATTTTCAAATCAGGTAGCTAAACAAAAATAGTTTTGCAACAAAAAAGTTGGCTAAATGGCTTGCTTGGCAGTTACAAGGCTGTTAATTCGATCCTGAAAGAAGTCATTAGCTTTTAACCAAAAAGGAAGAATGTTAAGTTCTTGTAACGGGGAAACACTGAAGTTAGCTGCCATTCACCATGTTTTAACGGCCCAGGTTAAAGAAACTCTTGATCTTGGTCAGTAACAAAAATGTACAGATCATCTCATCCCCTTCTATAAATCAACATGCATATTCACATGCATAGCTTTACATCAACATGCATAGCTTTAAATACGCAACAGCTCATCGAAATACCCCAAAGAATCGATTGATTAAGGCCGTCGACACACGGCCGTCTGTCGACCGCCTAACTGTAAATTGTTATAAAACTATAATCATAATCATGTATTTAACAAACTATATTGTATTGACACTAAGTTAAACAAATCGTGTTAGTATGCCAATTCTCAGCTATTAACATAGTTAGATAAGATGTTTGCAGAAACCAACTAGCATTTGTACCACTCCTTGATCATAACATACAACCTGAGGTGTTGAAACTTGTACTCACTACGCCTTGCTTCAGCCTACTCGCTGATTATTCATTAGTAATTGGTGTTGCAATTGCTATAATCCTTGTTGAAACTATTGAGTTTAGAGAATTGTCATTTTTTATGTTCCATAGATTTCATTTAGGGTATTTGGAAATGTCCAGGTTGTTACCATGTGTTGCGCCTACCCAAATCGGTGTGACCAATCCCAAGCCTTATAGGGAGATGTTGCTTATTGCTGTTGTTGCAGGAAAATTAGCCATAAGTCTTTATTTTTCCAATTTATCCCAAGACATTGATGTCCGCAAAGGGCCGAAATCCCCCGAATTGGGGCTGTTATAGGACCAGGTCCTCTTCAGCCGTCGACCAAGCTCAGGTCGTATTTGGTTAGATTCCTCTCTAACTGTAACGGAGGGTGCCGGGACTCCATTGAGGATATTTTTCACTAGGATGCTAGGCTCTATCACGCAATTGTTTTTCACATTACTTTTGGTTAGGCCTAACGTTGTGGCGTTATCATCTGGATATAATCCATTGGGGATTTATGGAATTTGACCCGGAACCTCAGGGACTAAATTCCCGCGCTCTACCACTACCAGCTCTCTTCCGTCGAAGATTGTTACCGTAAAATAATACTTTGTTGGCCTACCATCTCAATCGGTCACCACGCGCAAATCGATGTGTAGTTTAATTGTATCCAATTTGGTATCTACCAAGTTACGCTGTTTGCAAATATGTTGTTCTCTTGTACTCACGATTGTATTCTGTTTCAGATGGCGAGGGAGCGTATACAAGCTAGTATGGCGAGAACTTATAGCCTACCTCTCTATATACTACGCAATCAACCTCACATATAGGTTCGCTATGACAGAGCACCAACAAAGGTAAATACATTACTAATACTATGTAGACTGATATTTAGTATTTAAGAGGTAACAGTTTGTCGTAGATAAGTATGTGGAAATAATTGCACTTCAGTGTTTTTGAAATTGCATTTTTGTCAGAAATTTCTTCCCAAGGATTGTAAGGCGAAAGTTTGTTTTAAGGTTTTTAGTCAGATCCATGACAAATCCACTCAACTATCAATCGCAGGTATGAGAATTTAAATTTTCTGACGGGATGATTTCGAATGTGTTTTACATAGTGAGATAAAAATTTCATTCATATTTGATCGTGGGTAGGACACCCTCTAAATAATACATAAAACTTACTCTGTGATCGTGATTCATGGAATACCCTGTCATATCTAAATCGTGGTTTACATGATACCCTTCATGAGATTTAAATTATTATATGTGTGTGTGATCTTGGTTTACAAGATACCCCTCATAAGAGTTAAATATAATACATTTTTCTGATCGAGGCTTACATGACACACCTCCTCTAAAGATCTAAAAGTGATCTAAAGATCTAAAAATCTATACGTGCGATCCTGATGTATAACAGGGTTTACAGGATACCCTCTCTTGAGACTTCCCCCTCTGAGATCACCCTCATTAGATCTAAATTGTATACATGTTTGATCGTGGTTTACAGTACATGATGCCCCTCATGAGATCAACATGTTATACATGAGTGATCGTAGTTTAATGACCCCCCCCCCCCTCATTAGATCTAAATGTTATACATTGTGTGATCGTGGTTTACAGGCTATTCGAACGAGTGCGGGACTACTGCGCCCGACACAGCGACACGATCCCCATGTCGTTCGTGCTAGGGTTCTACGTCACCCTGGTAGTGAAGCGATGGTGGGAACAATACAGGCTGCTGCCTTGGCCCGACACGCTGGCGTTGTTCGTCAGCGCAGCCATCCCTGGTGTGGTAAGTCTCTGGAGAAACCGACGTCTGTACATAGTCTGGGTCGGACCGAGTCTTTCTGATGATTAGGTTACGTCGAGTCTGAGTCGTAAACGGTTTTGACTACTCAATACATTATTGTCATGGTATATAGGATACGTAGGGAGTTGTAGTGGTAGTATCGCGTTTGGGACGTAAAGGTTTCTTACAAAATATTGCTAGGAATCCCTGTTCAAGGTCAAATTGCTATGTAGATCAATGCATGAAATCTACAGTATCACCGTGGTTAAATTGCATAGTGTTAAGATTAGGATAATAGCGTCACGCGACATAATGTTAGAAAATATTGCGATAAATATCTGTATAAAGTAACACCGCTTTGTGGTCCATCGTATTGTGAGAGGTTTTCGTAAATAGACGTTTGGATCATGTATACTTGTAGAAAGATACAGCATGTAGTTCAATCGATTATATCGCGCAAAGTTTTGTGAAAAAGTTCTGTATAAAACTATATGTCTGTCTTGTGGTACCAAGTCTTGTGAACATTCTCCGTCCATTTCGGTAACATGGTATGAAACATATTCGCGAGATTTGAAAGAATCGTGTGTGAGTCGTTCAGAAATTTTTGAGAAATCAATATCCTCAAAACATTGCTGTCGTGTAGTTCAAAGTTTTGTGTCAAGTCTTCGTACAGAATAACATCGCTAAGGTGGTTCAAATGACTTGGAATCGCTTGGTACAGTAACAACAGGGTTTTCAGCCATCTCTGTATTAAGTGACGGCGTTTGCGTTGTTGGGTTTTACCGTACAAATTTTGGTAATTTCCCCCTACTCACATTTCACTGTACAAAGTTGTGACAAGTCCTCGTACAATATAGCAACGCGTTTTGTACGTACCGAATAGAGTGAGAAGTCTCTATACACAGTATCATCCCGGTTGAGTCATACAGTCTTCTATGAGGACTTTCTCTGTACTATTGAAGCTTACTACTAGTGCGGTTGAGTCAAACAAACAAGAAAGCCTTGTCAAATGACTGTCCACATACATCATAGTAGTACACGTGGTCAAATCGTTCAAAGATACGTAACTACAATAATTATATTTACATTATCAACGCGGTTGGATGGTTCAAAGTATTCTTAAGAGAATAATTCCTCTAAATATCACAATTGAGAAATGCAATTTCTTGTGAAAAGACTCCATTTAAAGAAGCTTTAGGAACTGGTAATTCTACGTCTTGTTAGTTATTTCCGAACGTTATTATTTCGCGTTCTGCCGTACAAAGCCAATTGTCGAAATTTAAATTAAATCATGTGTTAACTGTACTGTTGATTATACTAGTAGAAATTCTAACAAAACTTCACTATACTGATGATTGATATTAAGGAATATGATTTATCCCCTGACATCTTACTTTTTCATGGCATACATCTCTCTCCTTATCTTAGTTATGGATGCTTTCCTCCTCCAAAACAACAAAAATAGGCCATGAGTTTTTTTTCTTGCAAGTGCACATTCAAAGTGGATGTAGTTGATCTTATTAAAAAAGAAACATGGTAAATAATGTTCAATTGGATGTTACGTAAATTATAATGGGATTCGATTTGTTACGGTATTCTGGAAATAAACTGTTATGATTGGAGTATAGAAGTTTTGCGGTGGATACAGATAACTTAACATGACTTTTAAGTGGTTGTGAAAGCTTGTTAATGATGTTGCTCGAATGTTTAAACTGATATAGGATACTCGTGCGAGATACATCCCACAAATCGTCTAATGTTAAGTAACGTGTTCCTGATATGTGATGCGGTCAGGGGTTTAAAGTAGCGCGTTATACCTTAGAAAGTTTGTTAATTTGAGACAAGATAATAACATACACTATGTCCAAAATGTCAAGAACAATAGAAATCTCGAAGTAAATGTAAATAAATTTGTCAATCATTTCAATTAGACAATCGATTTAAGGATTTGGGTTGGTTTGTTTTGATTTGGCACTGTTACATTTCACCTCAAACAAGACATCAATCCGAGTAGGGGCAGAACTTCTGGTATTTTTCATTCAAAAACCTCACCGGCTCGAGCAGTAAGCGAAGGAAAATTACTCAGTAAGAGGACTTTTGGCTGTTATGCACAGGAAAATACATAGCATCGAGCATGGGGCGGAGAAAATGGGTCGGGATGAAAAACGTTTGGTATTTTGTAGTACTGTAAAGACGTTAGATATATCAGTATACGAATTAAAATACCTCCAATGAGAGCGTGTTGGAAATTGAAACCGATAAAGACTATTCTGTTTTTGATTCGTTCTCGTTCTTCGTGACGTTCCAATCCAGAGAGCTGAAACCCTACTGGACTGTGGCTGTTTTAGGACTTAGTCCTCTTCAGCAAACTGTTTTTGATCTTTCGCAAACTGAAGACCTGATCCAGTACGCTGGTACGCTGTAGTCTTTGTGTTGATCATATTACTTGGATTCAACCAACGAACTATTAATTACCAACAGTTAAGTAGGTTTCTTCTTTACGATGAAAAGCCTTAGCCTTTCACCTAGCAAAAAATTTTATCTTCGAACAACCTATCTAGTACTACATTTACTAATCTGATTCAATCTTGACGTACGCGCGCATCTGTAAACATTATAAGTATCGGAGTCCCTGCGTCTCGTGTTGGATCTCCACACCCAGCCTGACTTGCACGATTATTGTCTCCAGGTGACTTGACCCTAGCACGCCACCACAGGGGATCGCGTCGCAACACACTGTGTAAGTACAACATGGCTGCCAGGTCAGATCCCTGTGTGCCGTCTATCAGTTGTCTTGTTGATCAAGTGTAGAATCAATCACCATCTTTCATCATTGACCCATTTGTCAAGTAACCCATTACATTCTTAGATCCAAGCTTTTTTCTCTTTCCTGAGACATTAAAAAGTAACCAATCATATTCGGGTGGCGCTGGTGATATCACTAATTACCACACCTAAAAACGTTTTCAGTAATACACAAAAAGTCAGTAATCATCCTTTGGACACCTCCATTCACTACTCACCAATATTCATTGAATCCAATCATACTGCCTCAACTAAATGGTATTGGTAAAATGGCATTCTTCCTAAATCAATTCTTTGACTTGGGAGATTTTCATAATCTAACTTAAATATACTCGTGTATGTATGTATGACTCACTAATATCTAAATCGAACACGCTTCTCAACTATGTTTTGAAACACTGCGACCTTGCTACTAACTCATTGAAATCCCAGAGGTATTGTAGATTCCCCCGACCTGTCTCTCCATTGCTAACATCATACACACACTTAACTTATTTAGCCAGCTTATATAACACTGCTTCTTTCACGACTAACTTTTTGAAATCCCCCGAGGCATTCTAGTAGAGTCTCGCAACCTGTCTCTCCTTTACTAACACCAGACTTAATAACTCAACTTCACATTGACTTAGCTTGTAGACACTGCAAACTCTCACAACCAACTAGTTGAAAACCTCTAACACCAAGGCATTAAATATTTATCTCAACCAGTCTCCCTATCACCATCATGCAGACACCCATCGCAACTTTTGACTCAGCTTCCATAAAATTGAATCCGTTCACGACTAACTTCTGAAACTTCCAAGGCATTGAAGAATTCTGCCATACCATCTCTTTATCGCTAACATTATACATACACCCAATTTAACCACGTCACCTTTAATAACGCTACACCCTCTTACAACTAGTTGAACACCCCAACCCCCAGGCATTGTAGTTTTCCCCCAACCTCTCCTTCGATCACAATCAACAACCTTCACGACTAATTCATTGAAGTTCCCCAAGCCATTGTAGAATTTTACCCATCGCTCTTCATCGCTAACAACGCACATTCGCCCAACTTAACCACCTAAACAACCTTCAATAAACCCTTCAACAACACCCTCTTACAACTAGTTGAACACCCCGAGGCATTGTAGATTTCCCCCATTCCTCCTTTTCTCTTCCTCATTCAACAACCCCGCATGTTAGACGCACACAGTGGTGAAGGCAGCTGGACTTACAGGGTGTGTTTGTTGCAGAACGTTCGAGTGGATTCGGGAATATTTCGCGAAGAACAACTTGGCCTCGACGCTGATGACTTTCGTGATGGGTTTCTACGTGAACCTGATAGTGTCCCGTTGGTGGGAGCAGTACAGACTCCTGCCTTGGCCTGACACTTTAGCTCTTTTCGTCAGCGCTGCCGTTCAGGGCCAAGTAAGTGTATTTGTGGAGTTTTTGATTTTCGGATCGCTGCCGTTCATGCTTGAGTTGCTTGTTTGCTTCGTGCTTCGGAGCATTAGGTCGGTGCTGAGGCTGTGCGGGGGCACTAGGGTTCAAAGTTGGTAGCTTTTCATATACTGTAGTTGCGTGTTTTGGTTTTTACCGTAAATCTGGGTCATTTAAGTAATGATCAGTCAAATATGTTCAACACTCAAATTCAATTGCTTGTGAAACTGAGGGAATTTACAAGGTTTCATTCATTTCAAGGAACCGTGCCCAAAAGGGTATTGCAATTGAAAACTATGTATGTATCTGAGATATGAGTTTTCTGTAACTTCGTCCAAAATTAACCACCCCTGGATATTTTAATTTTTTTAAACTAGTTTCTTGTATAAGTCTTTATTCTCATATTCGGCACTAAACGCAATAACATTCTAGTTACAACCACTTAATTCGAGAACATACTTATAGTGGTCCCTCAGTACGATGATAGTATTAACGACCAATATTCTCAGTTATGTCTCAAAATATATAATTCATATTCAAACTTCTATACGATGATAAACTCTTGTTCTCAAAGGAATTGCAATGATTGGCTCTAAAGTTTTTTTAAATTCTCTCATACGTTTTTCAATACTATAACAATCTTACAACATGTGAATACGAGGATTTTCTCTAAAACATCACATTCTCAAGTCAGTCTCTAAAAACAATATAATAAATTAATCGCCGCATTACTGTAACAATAACACGATTGTATTCAGAAGTACGTAACAAATTGCAAACTCAATCACACCACATGAGTCAGCTGGTAAACGTGGTTTGCAACAATTGTAAGGTTGGTAATCTTCCAACAATTCTCAGCTGGGTAGTCAGCTGATCGCAGCATCTCGTCCCGCATCCGATTACAGACCGGATTCCCAAACGTGTCGAGTGGTCACGTGTCCAGCTCTCAGCTCTCGTGACCTCAGTAGGAAGTCTTCTGTGAACGTAGCCTCGATACTTCCTCACTCTTCGGACGTTTCGTTTATTTTGCCTTTGCTTGTAAAAAAATATTATAGATTGGTAGGCCTAGTCTTGCTCTACAGGTACATGATCTGTGACTGTGAGGATGATTATTTCTTCGTGTTTAGGAAGGTTGTCCAAACTCATCATGGTGGAAATTATTTCAATTGTGTGAGATTCAAAAACGGAATAGTCTAGTTTCTTGGCTACTGGCTTAAAATGGAAGGATTCACGGTATGAATAAAGTGTCAAATCTTTGTCTTTTGGGGATGACCACTTCGTGGATGTAGAATTCAACAGTTGTTTTATAGCTGACGCCTAAGGTTGAATTACTGCACCGCATCCTGAATGTTGGTCAATATTTAAGTCAAATCCTTGTATTATTTATTATTTTTTTTCAACTGTTTTCTATGTTAGGCAGACCACACATTAGATTGTTTTAAATTATTTTTCAATTTAACATTAATGTTTTACAAGGTGGTCAAAATTTTCCTTCACAACTCGAGCGAAAGCGTTTAGCAAATTCTCATTTTCCAAACATGATCTCGAATCTTCATATCCCAATTTTCGGCCCTTGGTGCGGAATTTATCCTAGTAAGGTCCATCTTCCAGTAAATATTGTGTAAATTTATCAATCTCACTATCCCAATGTTTTTTTTACCTACTTTAATTTGTATATTATCTGGTTTAATGAAGCAATGAAGGCATTATTAAAGTCATCGGTGCACTTTGGGTTTTGGAGACTATGTAACAAAACTAACATACCCTCTAGAAGAGTCCCCCAAATGTAAGACTTTTGATGTTCCAGCTGTTCACTCATGTCCATGCTGAGGATACATGTGGAAGGATGCATTCTGTACAAACCATGAATTTGAGATTTCCTGCATCGTCTGAAAAGATTTCAAATCAAAGTCACTTCTCAACACCGTTATGCGCAAATTGTTGTTCGCCTGAAATTATCTTTGTTGGAAGCTCTGTCTTTTTCAACTCTTTTGAACGTTTACAAATTCACCCGTATCTTTTCCATCCTGTCAACACATTATACCCTAGAATGTATGCACGTTGCCAACCTCCATGGCAATGGTTGGATTGAACATTGAACTATTCCTGATATCAGCGATCTGCAACTCAACGGCCAAGTGAAAGGTCACTTTCTAACGTTACTTCACACCGTACATCTCCAAGTACTTCCTGCAGTGCCTCGTTGACCCCGACGTTACGTGGTGTTGCATTTGTGTATTCGCTTTTTCGTCCTGGATAGCTTCAATGATATAGGTTAGATACCTGCCGTCGTCGACAATCCATGTATGTGTTAACCAGTGTGTGTTGAGTTAGTTGTAGCCAGTTTAAAAAATTAAAAATTATCGACCGACAGAATGTGCTGATATCGATTCCTGATAGTTTTCAAATACGTCATCTTTTGCAGTCAAGCCAAACGGAAAAGAAGACTTATCCTTAAAGCATCCTTTATGTCACATCACCTAGTATTGTATAAAAAAAATTATTAAGTAGAGTTTTTGTTGGTAAATACTCTGTATATGGCTCAACCATTCAACCATTAACTAAATTATATAAATTTAAAAAAAATATTCGCTTCAGCTGGTTCATAATGGGATGTCTATTTTCATAGTCAATGTAATTGCTAGACCGCAGCGAACAATGTGGCAACGTCGCACTCGTCGGCCTATTATTATATGGTCAACAGCATAGTAACAAATGTGCAAACATAACAGACGCTCCAATATGATGTGCTACTGTATTAAGTAGGCCGGGATTGCGACGTTGCCACTTTTATCTCTCCGCAGATTTGTGCTAGAGGAGGCTATGTATTACCATTGAATATATAACACAGAGTGTTATATATTCAATGGTAACTAGATGACCCGTGCTGCTCCGCAGCATTGAAATTAATAATAAAAAAATAAAATACTAAACTTAATAAGGGCGGTACAACTTTAATTAAACTCTTATAGGGCTGCTGGATTAATTTTGCCTCATGACCAAATTAAAGTATAACACATTCCATATAACACAGAGAAAATCGTCCCGATGTATTTTTTTCCGTTTTGAAAATCAATTAATCCAGAACAATATCCACACACTTCCTAAAAGCACCTACAGAGAAAGCACGTACATTTGTTAACTCATATGTAACACAGCGTGAATGAGGCTTTATTAAGAATGTTTTATTAACAACAATATTTCTTGTAAAATAGACATCTCTGTCGGTAGAATTGCATGTACGCATATTCTCAGGAGTAGTTCCCTCCATCTGGTAATCTTTATTAAAATTACGACTTTTATAATACTTCCTTCAAAACAATGTTTGCTGTTCGTCCACCTTTTGATTTAGTTTCTACTTTTACAGTATCGAAAGATTTCCCTCTCGATAAGGCGACGTACAACTGACCGTGACTAAATACTGGTTCAGGCAAGTACACACCAACTCGATCAATCGTTTGGCCCTGCGCCTTGTTGATGGTCATGCAGAACGCAACCTTTATGGGGAATTGTCTTCGTTTGAAAGAAATGGTACTGTAGAATATGATGGAGAGAGATCAATGCAGGGTAATAGTGCACGTTGTCCAATATTTGTGCCAGTTATGATTTCTAAGTCTAAACTGTTTTCATACATTTTCTTGACAATAAGTCTTGTTCCGTTTAGAAGACCTGCTGTGTAGTTTAAATTTCTTAATAACATCACAATGGCACCTTCCTTTAAGACTAATTTGTGAGAAGGCAAACCAGCCATCTCAAGGCTGTTGAGGAATTCAATAGGGAATTGCAATAGTTCACTGTCATCATCTGTAATTAGTTTATTCACACTTATATATGTTTTGCTTGAGCCTGGGATGAGGTCTAAAACTCTTTTATTGATTTCCTCACAATGCTCATTCTTTGGTGCTAAAATGGCACATTTTGATAAGTACGATGAGTTCATAGGCGTTTGTAGGTTTTTTCCATAAATTTCTGAAACTATGTCTGAATCAGAGATAAGTGGTGGGGGTAAGTCCACAGATTTGTCATCAATTGTTGGGTATTCCCCATTGCCAATTTCGAGCAAAAAGTTAGCAAAATCTAACTCATTAGTTTTAGCCCTCATATTTTTTGGTAATTTAAAAATTTTGAATAGTGGCCATAGGTATGAAAACTTAATTGAATTCTGAACAGTAGAGGCTCTAGATGAATGAGGCACAACCGGCAACACTTGCCGGAAATCTCCACCTAAGATAATGATTTTCCCACCAAATGGCACATCGTTATCCATTATATCTTTCAGTAGCCGGTTGACACACATTAAAGCATATTTGTTGGCCATAGGTGCTTCATCCCAAATTATTAATTTTGCAGAACGAATGATAGAAGCCTCTTTACTGTTGACTTTTAAGCCGGAGACAGAATGTGCATTCAAATTCAGTGGTAATTTAAATCGGCTATGAACTGTGCGGCCAAAGGGAAGTAACATAGCAGCAATCCCAGTCCATGCAACGGATATGATTGGCATTCCAATATTAATGCAGCTTTGGATTAAGCATTTATATACAAATGTTTTTCCGGTGCCACCAGGTCCATCTATGAAGTATGCCTTAACACTTGCAGACTCATCATTGTTTAGAAGTAAGTTTAGAATTTCATCAATCACAACACGTTGTTCTTCATTTGATGAAGCGATCATTTTCGCTAGTTCATAATGTTGGATTTCATCTATAGTTTCCTCTACACATGAATTTTGAGGCAATTCATCAATAGATGGTAAATCAAATGACTTCAGAGAGAAACCATGTAATTTTAACGTTTCTGAAATATCTTTCAGAGCTAATTGGTAAGCTACTTCGGTCGGGTATGATCTAAGGAAATCTTCAGACATTGAGTCCTTAAAGAGATTCCACAAATTCAGAACATTTGATGGACACTGAAATATACAGATGTAGGCAAACAACTGTCGAAGCTGGTATGGCATTTGAAAAGAAGAGGCCTCTTGTAAGGCT